TGGCACAAAACATCAATAAAGTTGTTTGCGTTCCAGGCTGGATGTGCGCGCATGCGCGGTAAAGTTTTTACCGTAATGCGCATGCGCGCAATAATGAAAGCCGCGCGAACTCAATCATTTAAAAAGCCGGAAGAAGAAGAAACATACAGCTCCTGAGAAAGTCAATTAGATGAAACGCGTCGAGCAATTGGAAGATCGTGAGTGTCCCTACAGCTTTTGGATCATATCTAGTTCCGAGTGAAATACCATTGGAAGTCCTTAGAACTTTGGATACTGGGATCCTGCTACAAGAAGGGACTCTAGCCCAGGAAAGAGCTGTAAAGCTTTTCAGCACAACTAAGACATATGTCCCTGTTGTGCAGCTATACTTGTGAGTGTACTTGCTTTTTATTATTTTGTTTTAATTGTTATTAAATACTTCACTATATATTTTCTGCTTTTTATCTCTTTACATGAATATTCATGACTATGATGTGGTAAATATATTCACATGTTTGTGATCGTGGCGCCCCCGGTGGTATATGTTTAACTATACTATTTTGTTGGTATTGTAACTGGGACTGGGAGTGATCCCTATTTCGGGGTGACTAGCCTGCACTGGAATTTGCACTTTTTCCCACTTACTGCCCCTCTTTTAGAAAATATATAAGTTCCTTTCCTGATTTTGCTCCACGCGGATTGGCTGGTGGCCACTGGAACTTCTCAACCCATTTGAAAAGCGACCACCAACTTTTGGCAAATCTGTCACGACAAGGACAAAAACTTATATGTTTGCTATAAGTAAGTTTATGCTAAATGAACGAAACGCATAGGGCTATTTAATGTGTTTAGAGTTTATCTTTTTAGACTTTACTTTCTGTGTCTTGAGTTTTACCCTGTGTCTGGACCATAGTGCTGGGATTTATCACTCTTCTTACATCGATTGACAGACTGTGATGTAATGTGATTGTGATGTGATTTTTTTCGCTTTTATCATGTAAGTGCTTTTTGTATTAAACTTTATTTGAACATAGAAGCTCTGCACTATTATTTTCTTTCTTCCTACATGTCTTGATGTCAATACAAAGACTCCATTTGTCATATTTATATGCCCACAATCTAGTGGATCTTTATTTCTTTTCACTTCACTCCAAGAGCATACAATATTGACCTATTGTCACTTACAGATGTGCATATTTTTGTATTGTAGATAAACTTTTATTGGTAGTTTGAATTTTATAACAGGACAGGAGGCTTCGTATTTTGCATAATCTTTCTTTACTAAAACTCCAGCAGCACAGGTTTAACTATAAAGTTTAGTGAAAAAAAAAAAAAAAAACATTGCCATGGGGTATAAAAGGCCCTTCCTCTTGCATCATTTCTTCTTTCTTTGCTGCTCCAGTCAGACAGGTCAGAGTATTTTATTCTCTGCTCATTCTTACTATTGAATTTACATTTACACTGTCAGAGTATTCTATTATCTGCCCATTCTTACAATGGTTTTACATTCACACTGGTTTCGATGGATTGTCTCTATATTTGATTATCACTATTTATTTTCTTCAATTTTTCCCTTTCTCCCCTATATCCCCACCCGTACTACCTTTGCTTCCCTTTCACTATCTTCCTGTCATTCGTTTCGCGATCGCGGCAAGTTACCGCGATCGCGCTTATCAAACCAGGGACTGGGGCATCGGTTAGGGTCAGCGGGAGGGGGTGTGTGGGAATCCGCGTTACCGGCATTAAGATTTGTGCGCAAACGGTGGCCATTTTGGGTATCGCGGACCGCGAGATCCAGGGCGGCCAGCCACCTTCCCAGACCGTGATTCACACGGTCTGGAATGCTCTCATTTCTCCTACAGGGTTTTTCAATGCCTGTCAGGAGCTGTGATATTCATAGCACCATGTGTATATATATATAGATGTTTCACAATGTATTTCATGTATTAGGTTAGCTCAATGGGCTAATACATTAGCAGTACAATGTCCATATTTTATGGTTCACAGGTTAACAATTTTATATCTTGTGATCTATTCATTTCTGTGTATTTTTCAATCCACGCCGGCGGGCCGGCGCGAACGGCAACCATATTAGATCTCGCACTCGCGAGACCCACAACAGGCATTTGTGCCCTAGTGGTTATGACTCACGATCCCTTCAACACACGTTGGATATGTATAGTTGGGTATCTCCATTAAACAATCATTTACTATGGATAACAAACTGCACTGCACATTAACCATTACACTGCTGCAGAGTGTCAATACGGAGGTGACCCCTCTCAGTTAGGAGTGAACCCCACTCACGCTCCTGCCAATACCATAATGGAGGTGACCTCCAAGCGGAGCCATACAGCACTCAGTGCAGGATTCATTCAGGGGTGACCCCCCTTTCAGATGGGGTGACCCCCCACAGGCTCAAAGAGACACAGTGCACGCAGGTTCAACATCCTGCCATACACTAACAATATGACTCTATGCAGTGAATATCGGACACCCACACTACGACTGGGGTGATCCACACACCTCCTTACCAAGGAGGGAGAAATTTGCAAGTGTACAGGCTCCACAATTCATTTATTGTTGGGTGAACCCCAAACCAAACAGACCCTCCACCCTTGATGGGTGCGGCCCAATTATACGACCGTTCATCCCGGTCGCACAGAGGGTGACCCCCTCCTCAGGCCACTCGACCCCTAGCGACCTGAGGGTCTCGGGTCAGATAACACTGGGTGACCCCAAGTCATAAGTGGAAGCCTACTGTACTACTACTCACGTACTTCAGTACCTGACATTCTCCTGTCTTTCACAGACAGAATATTCCACTACTTGATGATGAGTAACTCACCACAATCACCACCATCTGACTTCCAGTCAATGATAAATTCGGCGGTGGCCGCCTCAGTGGAGAAGGCTATTGCCAAATTACTGGTGCAGATCCCGAAAATGGACACTGACACCGCAATGGCCACTAAAACGGAAGACTCTGACTTCCTTAGAGAAGTCCCCGCAATAACTATCCAAACGTAATTTTCTGTGCACTTTATTATTGGGGTGACCCCCCTTACTACTGGGGTGACCCCCCACTCAAAGATGTGCATTCATCAATGGGTTACTGTGCACTTTATTATTGGGGTGACCCCCCCTTACTACTGGGGTGAACCCCCACTCAAGATGTGCATTCAACAATGGACTCCTGTACATTTATTATTGGGGTAACCCCCCTTACTAATGGGGTGACTCCCCACTCACATCCGCCAATGGATTCTGTGCTCTTTATTACTGGGGTGACCCCCCTCACTTACAGATGTGCATTCACCAATGGGCTACTGTGCACCTTACTATTGAGGTGAAATCCCCCTTACTACTGACGTAACCCTCATAGATGTGCATTCAACAATGGATTACTATGCACTCACAGATCGGCACTCGTCTACGGACTTCTGTGCACTTTATTATTGGGATGAACCCCCTTACTACTGGGGTTATTCCCCCCTCGCACATGCGCATTCCACATGGAACTATGGCCGGAGGCTCTCTAGGTGTCCTAACACATTTACACATGTACCTAGACCGTATATATAGATATATATACTCAACAGACAGAAAGGTCAACAGACGACCTCTCACTCAAGACTTTCAGCCTACGTTAATTGCAGTGGCAACCTCAATGCAGACAACAATCACCAATAGGCTGGGTCAGGGTCTTGCAGAGACCGTGAACCATGGTACCCCATCTGCCTATGAATTCATGAGCTACTAGGCCCCGTGCCAAGCAGCCATATACAAAGGACAAGTGCAAGTATTCCATCACGGACTCTCCAAATAATTACATCAAGCCTGGGAACAGAACCCCGATGTTCCGGAAAGTTATCCAAACAACCTAAAATCCCCTATAAGGAAATCTCCTGAGACTCCACAGATTTGACCGCCGCATGGTCAGACAACACACAGAGATCGATGGAATGGGGGTTGTCAGGCCTTCATCCACCATCCATACAATTGTAGCCACAAAACCTAGGACAAGGCAACTGCATGTTCGACTCCGAGTCGCACGCCCTCACTCACTTCACCCCAATGACAGAACATTACTAAGAAACAGCTATACTCTTACATTTCTCCAGTTTCAACGCTGTCATGGTGTAACCATGGGCAGCGGTCTACCTTGTTATCAAATAAGGAAGCTACCTCTATTCGAGTAGGGAGGCTAGAATACTCCGGACGGCCGGAGGATAGGACATAGGATTCCTCTATACTCCTGGGCTGAACGACCCAGTAGGGTAACTTAGCTCCGTGAACTAATGCTTAATCTGGATACCTGGTCGACCCTTGGGAGTCGAAGTCCACATCTTCCAGTACCACCTCTCTAAGGGTACTGGAGGATCACAAATCTCACATATGAGGAAACTTACACCTATTTCCAAGAAGCGCTGGGCATTCGCTCCAGACATCACTGGTTAACTCAGGGATAATTTTATGCTCACAGTAGTCGGGAGACTACCATCCTGGCACCGTCCTACAGCTTCCCCACACCTTTGTGGGTTCAATCATTCGGATTGGATGGACACATACTCGTCCAGGAACCCATCTGTCCATTTTGTTTTCATCTACGGGACCAAACGAATCAATTCACGTGTCTATCATTAAGGTATGACCCATGGTACCCAAGAAACTTTTATAACCGGTCATGGCGCCCTTTCGCCACAAGGGAATCCGCTACCTCACCTATCTAGACTACAAGACGTTACTTACTACACACGTAATCGACAATCAGTCTCTAGGGCTGGAAGGCTCACTGCACATACCCCTACCAGAGAACCATGATCTGGAGAAGAGATGGCTGGTGACGGGATTACCGACAACCTACAGCTAGCCTGGGACAGATCCGATGGTTGTATTCTCCTACATTTGGACAATATCTCGGCAACCGGCTACACAAAACACCTGGACGGAGTCTGGTATCGGATTCTAATAATATCGGTGGACATTTACCATTTCTAAATTACACGCAAGGTTACCCTATGACTAGGGTTCCCTCAGGAGATTATCTATATCACGAACTGGGTTTCGTGACAACAACTGACAATGGGACTCCTTGGTCACCATCGCATCACGGAGATCTGGGTGACACGCACCTCACCACTACGGCAGAATCGAAGGGGCTACTAATCCTATTGACTCCATTCTGGGCTATCCACTGCCCTTCCACTGTCTCCCATCTTACGGACAACCCACAAGATACCATCGGAGACTTTGGCGGCTCACGTTCCACGACGGGACTTTTCGTATGCCACGAGGCGTCATATGCTCCAGAGCCAGTATCGGAATACACTCGGTTATGGGTCTTAGTTTTGGTTCTCTCTATTCCTACGGGTTTGACCTATGGATTTGGATACTCACTCCAACTAACCCTCGAGGAATCTCAGAATCGAGACAGCCTCTCTCTCTCCCTTTGTATACTATACCTTTCACATCAGTTATGGCCACCACGTTACCGGGTGGGCACATTGACCATTGCTCATATGGTTGCGGAGATCGATTGGTTATCGGTCATTCAGGTGATGGATGCATCTCAGACATCCACGACGCATCTTCCTTCGTCGATGTTCATTGGCCGGGACATGAGAAGAGACTTTTAGGGTGTTCTACTTCCTCTGACTCTTCACACATACTGTGTTATTCCATAGCGTTAAAAATGCAAAATACGAAGCCTCCTGTCCTGTTATAAAATTGTAGATTATGCTAGCGCAGTGTACCTATAATCTTAATTTTATGAAGGACAGGAGGCGAGTATTTTCCCACACTACTTTTTCCCTCCCTATTTATTATTCCTTGGGTTGTACTTCAATAAAAGATTTGAATTCAGGGGGTGTGGTTATCTCTTTATTACGTGGTTTATTTCAAATCACATCTTGAAATTACGACTGTTATCTGTTATGATTTCCTAATACATACAATTTGACTATATTAATGTCTCTATCATAGATACCTATTTCGATCAAAAAATTCTTGTCTCATCTGATAAATTCCTTTTACGTAAAGTACTACGGAATAAAGTGGCGTTTTATATACAGTAATATTGATTATGCTAAAAATAATAATAATAATGAGGACAAACAGTTCATTTCCAAATCCCTTTCATGTGTTTTGTTTCTTTTCAGTTTGATTCTTCTTCATGGATCAATACATGGGATCGTCTTCACACTCTACGACAATCTTCCAGTCAGGATTCGGATAATTTACAGCCGGATTCTTCGTCGTTATCATTATTTATTGTAATAGCAGGATATGTTTATGATTATCTCGCACCAAAGAAAGAGGAAATGATGCAAGAGGAAGGGCCTTTTATACCCTATGGCAATTTTTTGTTTGTTTGTTTTTTCACTAAACTTTATTGTTAAACCTGTGCTGCTGGGGTTTTGGTAAAGAAAGATTATGCAAAATACTTGCCTCCTGTCCTTAATAAAATTAAGATTATAGGTACACTGCGCTAGCATAATCTACAATTACTATTTGCCCGCTGGCAGTGTATAAATAGTAATTCAAATAAGCATTCTTGCTGCTAGCTATTATATTAATATAACAGGGGACAGAATGTCTCATTGGCTGCGGATGGGTACTCTATTAACAATACTCAAGAGGGACAATATAATAGTATTATTATCTTATTATTTATATAGCGCCAGAAAATTCTATTGCGCTGTATCCTCACCCATTGGCTGTGAGTGGGGATCCATTAATAATATTCAAGGGGGAACCTAAAGATTCCACAAAGGGGCTGGTGGTGAGAGAGAGACACAAAGGGACTGGAGGAAAGAGACACAGAGGGACTGGGTGGGAGAAAGACACACAGAGAAAGGATGTGGGGGACAAAGAGGCACACAGAGATTGGGGGACAAATAGGCACACCAAAGGGCTGGGGGAGAAAGACAGACAGAGGGGCTGTGGCTAAAAAGAGGCAGACAGAATGCTTGGGGGACAAAGAGACACACAGAGGGCATGATGGGACAAAAATTCACACAGATGGCTTGGTGGAATAAAGAGACACACAGAGGGTTGTGGGGAAACAAATATACCAACAGAGGGGCAGAAGGGAGAAGACAGACATACAAAGGGTCTGGGGGAATACAGGTACACAAAGGGGCTTGGGAAAGAGACATACAGAGGGGCTGGGCTGGAGAAAGAGACTCACAAAGAGGTTGGGGAGAAAGAGACAGAGAGAGGTGGTGGGGGACAAAGAGACACACATAAAATGGAGGGGAAAGAGAAACACAATGGGGTCTACCCTCTACTTTACAGTCTTCAAATCCCAGAGTTTGTTGTTTGGGCTCTGGTCCATGTGTGTTTGATACTATAGTTACTTTCATTATTTCATTATTTTAAATTATTAGTAGTATTTTCTGCACCATGTTATTTTTTTGCTTTTCAGGTTTATAAAGACATTTTGTGGAACATCTGCATGATTTTAAAAACATTGTGAGTGCAGCACATTATCGAGGTGTGTCTGTATAGATTTGTTACATAGATGTATTCTATTTTTCTTTACATTTTTAAGAGCATTATACATATTTCACATTTGTGGAACTTTTTTATTTTGGTAGACTAACCAGTTTATAAGTGGAAATTTGATACATTTACACCGATATTTGTTTGTGTAAATGTATCCAGTGAGTTTTATTAACTGTTGCTACTATTTACCATCTAGACGCTACTTGCTAAAGACTGCTACAGACTACTTTTAGGAAAGTAGTGCCTGTTTAACATATGCCAATTTCATAAGCAGCAACACGCAGTTACCATAAGCTGCTACTGGAAAGCCGATCACTAACAACTCCTATTATTCTTCTCTATTCGAAGAATCTTGTAGGTGGTACCAACCTTGTCACTACTTTTATTGGCTGCCATGAAGTCTCCAAATTGACTAATCTGACAATTGGCGAAGGAGCTACAGCAGATTGTCAGTGTCCATTTGATGAACATGGGGATGATCTGGAGTATCTTTCCATTATTACTACTTTGAAGACTTTATGCAATGGGATTTATTATGCTTGAGCTATTCATTGGAGCTAAATCTCACAAATCTTTTAAATAAAATGCAAACATAAATATTTTTCTTGCTTTCACTGGCTTTTATGGACAATAGCAAATTAAGCCCATTATTTGTATTTTTGACCACTTACATTTCCGCACTGCTGTCTTAGATTTGTGAATATGTGCAGGTATCGTAGTTACAGCAATATTTCCATTTCCTTTTTCTGGAGCCAGTTCAGGAGACAAATAAATTTGAAATAAAAATGTACACAGCCACTCCATATCACATTATGTCACACTGAGTGTAAAACAGAACAAGTCCATGAAGACAGCAAGACAGATGAGCAATGTTTTTGGCTAATTAGAAAAAAATGTTGGATACTTGTAATGATAATTAGACACCTGTTGATTTCTTTTTTTTACAAATGTAACATGTGCAGGTTTTCTAATCCAGATAATTTTGTCTCATTGAATATATCATTTTCTTGCAGAGCTGGTATTGTTCTTGAGCAAATCACTAACTTCTTGAAACAAATTATCCAAAAACAGTCAGCCTGCTACAAGCTAGTACAAATGCAATGGAATAAAATTTCTTAACCCCAAAAATAGTAGGTAGTTGTTTTTTTTTTTATCTTTGTTACTCACTGAAATGTATTTTTTTCTTTCTATCTTTCTTATAAGATAAATTCTTCCCTTTAATGTCTGCGTGTAAATTTTTATTTAAGGGTATTTTTGATCAGGCGTTTATTCACTAAAGATAGGGTTACAGGCAATACAAAATGAATGTCAAATTTAAAGGAACACCGTCGGGTCAGGAACACAAACATGTATTCCTGATCCTTTATTTTTAGAAACACTATATAGCCCCCCACCCCTTGCACTCCTAAATATAGTAACATCTTACCTTTATTACAGACTGCTGGTGCCGACTATGCCCCTGATCTCCTCCTTGGCTGACTTCATCAGAAGTGATAATCTCAGCAAATCACAATGCATTGCAATGGCTGTGGTTGTCCATTTTGATAATCTCAACCAAGGAGGCAGCACTGGTGATGGGGGGGCGCAATGCCATCCTGGCCAACCAGCATCTCTTCAGCATTGAATCAATGCATCTCTAGGAGGAAAGTTCAGTGTATGCATGCAGAGGGTGGAGACACTGAATGGCACATTGTGCAGCACTGCTCCAGGAAGCACCTCTAGTAGCCATCTGTGGAGTGGCTAAGGGAGGTATACCTAGGCTGTAATGTAAACACTGCCTTTCTCTGAAAATACAGCGTTTACTGCAAAATACCTGCAGGGACTGACTTCACTCAGCAGAACAACTACATTAAGATGTTGTCGTTCTTGTGACTATAGTGTCCATTTAAGGTCAAAATAGCTGAACTGCAAAAAGTCTCCCACTTGGAAACTGAAAAAAGGGAAAGGGTGATAACAAAACCCTTAATAAAAAAAGAGTAACCCATTATTACATTTCTAATAATTTTTTTTTTTTAATTAAGGGGTTTGTTATCACGTTTGCCCTTTTTTCAGTTTCCTGTTGTTTGAAAGTTTATTTTAGGGGTTACCCCCCAAATTTCTACAGAGTGACCTGACACACTCTCCCTTAATATTTCTGTTTAAACAGAAATTCTCCAATTGAGCTATTATTTCAGTTAGACTACTTTGGCCATCAATTTAAATTCTTATTTTAGTAAATAACTCTTCATGACTCTATTTAGATAAAGATAAAGGCTAATTCCCAGGTGGGCAATCTTGGCCGTCTTGCCATCTTCTGTAGACACCCATGCAAGTAGCACCCATTTAGTGTTTACAGTGTCTACATCTGACATAAAATATCCAAGAGTACCGAATATTACCAGTGATTGGGATTAACTCACTGAAAATGATGAATTATGATCAACAACCTGCTTAGAAAATACAGTTCAAACTAAACAAGCTGGGATATCTTTCCCAGTCAGACAGGAGATTTTTTTTCTACCTTGTCTATTAAGTACAAAATAATTCAGCATAAAACAATGTTTTGTTAACAAGCACCAAAGACAATCAGGTTTAGCTTTGGAATATCCAAGAACATTGCTCTGTTCTACAATCTCTCGTTCTATTAGATTTATACATTGTCAATGAATTTCTAGTTATACCACATTTAAACTCTGCTCTTAATTGGGCATTTCTATTTTTTATCCCGTGTTTCTTTTACTATATTAACGTGTTAAATGTTTTTATTAATATTTTATTAATGCAGGATGATCTGCATCTAATGGTTTCTAAAAAAAAAAATACTTTTAGCACTACATCATGAAGAAGCAGAATTAGCATCAGCTTTCCTGTAAATACTTCCCAAAGAGACTAAACAAATGGGGAAGTCTGTATCTCAAATGGTAGTGTTAAAGAAATAATGTGACTTTTATTATTTGAATTAATGGAAAAATCAATTTAATTTCTACATCATAATATAGAGCTACAAAATACAATATCATACATATTCACACAATTAAATAAACGGCACATCACTGATACAGTTTAATGTATCAGTATGGAAAATAGAAGATGCATGTTGAGTATTATTATGCTATTATTGACATTTATTTATATGAAACACCAAAAAGAT